GTGGCCTCCTGGTTCATTATATTCCACAAATGAGTGAGATCATGTGGTATCTATCCCGAGAGGGATAGAGAGTTAGAAACGTCGCTCAGCTATCTCCTGCATGCCCCGGCTACATGTGGTATTGGTTTCAATCTCCCCCCAGGCCTCTGAAGGGAAAAGCCTTTTGAGGTCTTGCTGGTTCGGAAACAAATGAGCTTTTCTTTCATGGATCAGATCTTTCCCACCAGGTAACCGTGGAGGACACCTGGGTCCTAAAATGACTGCCCAGTGTTAGCACAGACGGGGCTGCATTGGCTATAGGCCACAAGCCACATTCTCCTTCAGTCCTTAGCCTCTGACACACGACCGACCGCAGGATGAACCATTATTTAGACCTTCAGATGTCTTTGAAGTATGTGGCAATTGGAACAAAAGAGCATTTGCAGTCAAAGGGTCTATCACCAAAGCCCCAATTAACCCCCCACCTACTCCTGCATTTGACTTTGGGAAATGTCACTTAGCCCCTATACATTTCAATCTCCCACGAAAAATTATAACATCCGCTCCTCACAGGTTGGTATGCAAACACAAAAATAATGTGTGTGTGAGAGTTTCGTTAATTAAAGCTCTGTCCCTTTGACATTTGTCTTTGTTAATTAGTACCCTAGATGTTTTATAAGATAAGCAGGCTATTTTGTCCTCTTGTGATATGTTTTAACTTGATGTCTAGGGTCCAAGTTAGTACATGGTAATAACATTACTCATGGGCTCATTCAAACAAATATTTAAAGAGCACCTGTTTTATTTCAAGCATCTAAGCTCTTAAATTACAGGGATATTCCCATAGGGGGCATGCAGGAGGCAGCCAATCAATGATTCTCTCTCATCATTGATGTTTCTACCTCTCACTCCCTCTCCTTCCTCTCTGAAATCAATAAAAATATATTTTAAAAAAAGAAAAATGGCTTCAGTGTTAATGATGAAGAACCAGAGTTATCAGCATGGTGGTATTGCCTCGGTTCTAATTGGCCAGCACTGTCTTCCAGGATGTTCAGTACTCGGACATAGACTACATGGATGGAAAGAAGGACTTCACTATTGATGAAAAGGCTTTCCCTGGTCTCTCAGATTTTGCCAAGAACTTACACGAACATGGACAGAAATATGTAATTATTATGGTATGTTCAAACACTTATTCCATGGCCTACTATTCCATTTAAAAATGCAAAAGACATTTATAAAAATAATATTTATTATCATATTTATTTACTAGAATCCTGGCATCTTACATGATTCTGAATACCAGCCCTATAAGAATGGAAGAAAAAAGAGAGTATGGGTCTTGGGGAATAAAGGCTTTGTCACTGGACAGGTAATTTCTCAAAAAAAAATCAGTATATTACAGTTATTTGGGGAGGGGAAGTTTGTGCTTTTGGTATGACAATGAGTAGAAGGCAATTTACAGTATTATTACTGTTTTCTTGGCTTTAGAGGTTTCTGTTATTTTTAAAACAGTAGATACAATAGTAGAATGATTAAAATTCTTAAGGATTTGTTTTTTAGTTGAAATATATTTGACATGTAACATTTTATAAATTTAAGGTGTAGAGCATATTGATTTGATAATTTGATTATTACAACATGATTATCATTGTAGTGATGGCACCTCTATCACATTACATATTTTCATTTCTTTTTTGTGGCAGAATAATTAAGATCTAGTCTCTAGAAAGCTAACCCTGACCCTCTAATAATACAGATAGTTGAAAAACAATATATTATTAGAAGAAAGTTAATTTATTCTTAAAGTTCTTCTGCCTTACAATTTATATCCCCCAGACAATAAATTCAACTATGGTAATGGAGCAAGATGCTCATAGGCTAATGTGAAACCTTCCTCAGCTAATATACTTTTAATTTACATGAGACTTATAGATAGAGCCCAGCCTTTATCCTAAGGTAGCAATTTCAGGCATTTGAATAAGCTGCTTAGGAACCTATTTGCAGGGCAGCTGAGCTTTCAAGAATATTTTAAATCAAATCCTGTAGTCAATCTTCTCTTCCAATTATGTGTGGGGTCAGCCCTAGATGATTGGATGATGGAAGATTTATTAAAACTGGTACTTCATCTAAAAGTTCATGTGGTCTCATTTCTTGTTGCTCCCAGGCAATTAACTTTGCAAAACTTACCGTTTTAGGGTTATCAATGAACCCTTACCTAACTTCTCACTTAATTCCCATCATTGACTTTGTCTACGATACTTCTTTCTATTTACTTTCTTTTTCATTAATTCTAACTTTTCATGAAACAGTAGTTTCCTTCCTTCTCCAAACCAATTCTTTGTTTTTGCTGTTTTGTTTGATGTGAATTTCTAATATATCAGATAGAGCGATATTCATATATAAGTACAAAATCAGAGGCCATGGTCACATAAAAATTGTTTTGTTTACCAGAAAAGTAGATTATCCAGACTTATGAGTCATTTCAATAGTATTCATATTTGAGATGTATGTAATTAGGAATTTGCATATAACCACAAAAATTTAATTAGATAGTTACCTCCATTGACCAATAAATAACAGAAATCATTTGATCTAAGATGTTGGCAGAGGTAATAGTGCTGGAGGTAGTGTGGGTTACTTATAAAGGAATTTGGTTAGAATGAATGTTCCTGGGCTTGCTTTAAGGACAATGTCACTGTAGGTGATTCCTTTGCCACACCATCTTTTCCTTGAGTTTCAAAGTTACTTCTGATTATTATATGGTGCCTCATCACCTAAAACAAAGAACCAAGACATAGATAGCTATTCATCATACTGCCTGAGCATAAAGTTGTCCCTAAATGACAATCTATAAATTTGTTGGGAAAATAAGCAAGAATGTATGTATAAAACTTTGTGTCTTGTCAATTTAGAATTTTCAGTAAGTTGGCTATGACTATATCTTTGTGCTATTTGTGGACAATGTTAAAAATGAATCTTTGATAGGAATAGATAAGAAGAGAAGATAGAATAAAATATATTTGACCTGAGTAAGAAGCACAAAATGCATTAAACTGTTTAAACAAGATGGTTTCTATGCCAAAACCAACATATCCTATTTAATAAAAGGCCAGAGATCGTAACGGTGTCAAAACCATAACGACCATTAGACCAGAACCACCACGGCCCCTTGCCAGGCTGGCCCTGCCCCCCAGCAAGCGGTTATGGGCAATCAGGCAGGCAGGCAGAGTGGTTAGGGGCAATCAGGCAGGTAGACAAGTGAGGGGTTAGGAGCCAGTGGTCCTGGATTGTGAGAGGGATGTCCCCTGAGAGGTCCTGGATTGGAGAGGGTGCAGGCCAGACTAAGGAAACCCACCCACCCCCGTGCACAAATTTCGTGCACCGGGCCTCTAGCATTATTCAAATCAGGTTTTAGGTGATCTTCAATTAACAACACATTACACAAAGTCATTCTCTTCTAAAATGTCATCTAGTTAAACTTTCCATATTTTAAACCTGTCAATTGGCCTGACATATGAAATTTTACTTTTTTTTTTTAATCAGAGAAAAGCGACATTTGCTGGCTTCTCATCTCTATAATAAGTTGTTTTTCCTTTTATTTTTTCTCCCTTTGGTTCCTTGCATCTATTTTAACATTTAGTTTTAGGAGGACAGTCACACATTTTGATTCTAAAATGTAAGCTACATGGGCCTTCTGGTAGAAGAGATAGTAGCCAGCAATAAATGCATGTGTGAATCATCAGATAAACCACCACAAATTTCCTTGTTTTTTAGGGATACCCTGGGAAGATAGTCTTTCCTGCTTATGATAATCCATTTTGTACTCAATGGTGGACAGAAGAGCTTCAAGAATTTCATAAAACTTTGGAGTTTGATGGAGTGTGGCTTGTAAGTCATTATTCCAGTATAAAACTTACTTTGGAGACAGATATTTCTAATTTTAAGATGAATTTTAACTCTAATCTCTAATAAAATAGTTTACATAGTGATATTTAAAATCCTTTTACTTAATGTTGAGCTTATAATATACAATAAATTAGATGCCTTGACCCCCTGGATTTTAATTCTCAATCTGCTACCAACTGGTTATTTATTTTTTAAGAAAATATTTTGCTTTCTCATGGACTCAGCTTTTTCCTAAATTAATTGTCTTTTAACTTTAAAAATACTATTTTATTAGAAACTACAGGTGCCATTATTTGTAGCAATGATTTATTAAAATTTAAAGTAAATAATTAAAGAATAATTTAATGGTCCTTTTATTTTTTTAGAGGATAGCAGGTGGGGAAATTTATTTGAAATTTGAAAAATTACATTTTTGTTAGCAGGATTACACATCACCTATTTGCAAGCTCTTTTAAAGAAATGGATTTTATCTCAATTCTATCTTCTTAAGCCCTGCACTGAGTAGAATAATAGAATGGGCAAATTATGAAATAGAATATTACTCTATCTTAGATTCTTTAAAACAATACTGAGGCAATATCAGCAACAATAAAATCTCGGAAGGTATGAATTAGCCTTTGTAATAGTATTTCTTAATTAACTAATTGAAATCAAGGTATAAAAGGTTAAATGTACCTGATATAATTTAGAGTTGGAAGGTAATGTAGATACAATCTAATCCAAAAGATGAAACAGAAGTCAGAAAATTTAAGATTACCTAAGATTCCAAAATCAATAAGAGACGCCAGCTGTCCAGCCTCTAGTTCAGTAAACATTCTTTAACAACTAACTATATATCAATAACATTTTCCACTTTGTGTATTTCGTGTCTCTGAAGGAAATGGAGGAAGTATCTGTTCTCCAAGGTTCTGATCATGGGTGTGAAGATAACAACTGGAACTACCCTCCTTTCACTCCCCGTAAGTTTTCACCTGTTTGTAATGATGTAGGCAGGAGATATTTAAAACAACCTCAGCGAAACTCAGTGTAGCCAGGAGCAAGTTCACTTTCCAATGGTTCTTTTGTTTTGTTTTGACTGTTTTTATTATCTTAGTAGGGGCCCAGTGCACAAAATCCATGCACTGTGGATGGGGGCTGAGGGTCCCTCAGCTCAGCCTGCACCTTCTTGCAGCCCAGGACCTCTCACTCCCTACCCGCCTGCTCGCTACTCTTTACCACTTAGCTCTCTGCTTCTTAGCGCTGCCCCAAATGCGTGCCTCCACCTCTGCGCTCACCAGCCTTGAGCTTGGTTTCTGGCTAAGTGGCGCTCCCCCTGTGGGAATGCACACTGACCACCAGGGGGCAGCTCCTGCATTGAGCATCTGCCCATCGTGGTCAGTGAGTGTCATAGTGACTGGTTGTTCCACGGTTCAGTTGATTTGCTTATTAGCCTTTTATTATATAGGATTATTTTTATTATTTTATTAAACATTTTTAATGTTGACTTAATTGCAGGTGTCCCATTTTCCATGTTCTTTGCCCACCTCCACCCACTCCACTTCTCTCTCCCTGGAGACTTTACTGTAGTGTTTAGTCTTGCATTACTCTTTTGCTGATATAATCCAAGGGCAAGCATGTGGTGAAGGTCATATCTCCCCTGGCTGTGCCTCCTCTCTCAAATTCTACATTTCCCATCCTGTTTACTTCCTCTAAACCTTTTATACATGTTACATATGGTTCAATTTTAAACTTTATGAGAATATCAGAATACTGGAAGTACAAACTGCCTTCCATTGGAGTAAATCTGTAATATGTGTGTGTTTGTTTAGCTTGTTACCAATAGCATCAATGGTTCCTGTTAGTCCTTCCAATTTATGAGTCCCATTTCCAGTCAAAGTCAATTTTCCAGTCCCTAATTTTAAAAGAATGTGTGTGTGTGTGTTTGTGAAACAGTATAGTGCTGGTGGAAACAAATTAATCCTAGCATCTCAGTGGAGTACACAATAAAAGTTTTTGCTCATATAATATTCTAGTGTGGAATGTGTGGCTCTCATCCCAGCAGTGGCTCGGGAATCCAGTTACTTCCATCACCTGGTTCTCCTATCTCAGAGCCCTTTGTTTCCAATTTCCTAGGTGAAGGAGAAATAGAAGGGTAGAGGAGATTTATGGATAAGCCTGGAAGTGTGTGTGTGTGGGGGGGAGGGGTGGTGGTGTTCAATTTGTTCACAGAATCCAATCACATGACTCTGCTAAACTTTCAAGAGAAAATGTGAAATATAATCTTATATTCCTGGGGAGAAGACAGGCCTGGTGAGCATCTGGCCAGTCTCTGCCAGTTTCTTCTGGTTTCTTCACTTCACTGGTGCCTTTGAGCCACAGGTTAGCTGTTTCTTTACTCCTTTAAGAACTTTTTAGGAGGAATCTTGACTTCAAACCAGCTAACTTCTTGCAAAATCTGTTTCTTTCCCCCACTTATTCTTCTCTGTTCGTTCTGTGTTCCCCCAATTTTTTTCACTGTGTATCAGTTTATCATGTTTCCCTTTTAATCTCTTAATCTTCTACTTAGCCAAAAATGTTTTGTTTTGTTTCCTATAGAACATTGAAATCTCATTACCTTCTGTCTGCTTCTGACAAGGATCCTACTCCCTATCTCTCAGCATTTTGTCTACTACATATGAGAAACTGCTCTGCCTCTGGTCTACTTTTAATCTTTTCAGGATTAGAAAATACATCTGTAATACTCTCAACAATAAAGATTTTTAAAAAAAAGAAAGTACACATTGTCATGAAAAAGATTTAGATATATTACCTTTGCTCATGGGAAAATCTTAGTATCCTTTCTTATCTATATATATAAAAGGCTAAGTATCTGCCCTTCCCTCTGACCATTAGCTATGACATGCACTGACCACCAGGGGGCAGACACTCAACACAGGAGCTGCCATGATGCACACTGGCCATTTAAAAATAAACGGCACCATGGACCTGGCGCTGACAAACCAACACCCAGCTTCCCCCAAGTGGGACGCAGGCCCTGCTGCCACCCCAGAGTGACATCTCAGTTCTCCCTGCTGATCTACAATAATAATCTGGTAATAATCTGCTTCATGTTGATATTTACTGCTGTGTTGCTGACAATTACCTGAAGAGAAATTGGGGTGCTTCACTGGGCTGGAAAAAGTTTAGCAAAATCAGAAAGCAGGTCTAATTAAGTAAAGTGTATTTTATATATAAAAAAGGCTAAATTGACTCGTGCAAGCACCATACATATAAAGCTCTCGCTAAATCAGAAAGCAGGTCTAATTAAGCAAAGTGTATTTTATATATAAAAAAGGCTAAGTTGACTCATGCATGCACCATAAAGCTCTTGCTGGCACCACTTGCACGCGTGTGTTTTGATCTGTCATTATTGATCATGAATTTAGTTGACACTTCTATTATAGAGAAAGGACGAATAGTGATATTAAAATATTTTTTTCTAATTGATTTCCTTTCAATGTTCATGAAACCATGCACCGGGACACTAGTAATTAATCTAGTTGTGAATCTCAGGCCACAGACTGAGTCATGCCAGAAATATAATTGTCTTTATATTTTATAATTAAACATAATTTCAATCTCTGATTCTGCTGGGCTGGTGAGAAAAACTCAACCTCAGTCTTTCCTGGCTCTACCACTTTCTGGAATTGTGCCTCATATCTTATGAACAGGCAAGGCTTCATGAAGGAGGGCAGGAGGTATGGCCCCTTGGTACTGGTCTAGAAGTAGACGGGGAAGAATGAGATTGCAGGCCACAAGACAGAAGTGTTGACCATTTTAGGCATAAGAAAGGGAAACAATGACTATGCTGATTTCTAAAGGCAGGATCTAAGTTCTCATTCATGAAAGCCCCCAAATATCTCACTTTTTAAAAAGTGTAACTGAGGTATGAAGGCTTGTAATTTCAGAGTGTATATGTTCCCTTTTCACTGCCCTCCTATCTGTTCTTCATACATTCAATTCTCCTTGATTAAATATCTGTAGTTATGTGTGTGTACTTTATTTATATTTTATCTCAGATTAACTTCCCATTGTTCTGAGTTTTTTCTCCATTGCCACCACTCAGCACCATTCTTTGTGAGCTTGAGAATGCAAATTGATTTTAATGATTTACCTCAGTGAGGGGCTTAGAGTATGTCCCAGTTAGGAAGAGGCATTGGGATAGGATTTGAAATCTGAAAAGAGTTTTGCCAGGTAGAGATTGGTGGAGAAGGTACAGGAACCTGGAAGCAAATGGATTAGGTGGTTATTTTGTTAGAGTTTGTTGATAGGGAAGTGGCTCACCAATGGGTGTTTCCCCACAGGAGTTCTGGACCGCTCGCTTTTTGCAGGAACTCTCTGCATGGACGCCGAAGTTTACCAGGAGCTTCACTATAATGTCCACAGCCTGTATGGCTACTCCATGGCAAGAGCCACAGACTCGTAAGCACTAGGTTTTCCTTCTACTTCGAGATACGGGGAGCTGGGAGATAGAGGGTTTCTCTTGTCATCTATAGGTATATTTTTCAAATATGTTTTGTGGTTATGTAGATCTAGAAACTCAGATCTTACAGGCTACTTAAGAGGTCTTCCTATATAATTCCTTGGCTTCTGGGCAGGATTATTGCTTATTGGCTTGTGACTAAGGACTTGATATTAGTAGGCAATAATGTACAAGGTATTTAGAACCTCCAATTGGAAGTCAGCCCTTGTTTGGGTTCCATTACTGAATGTGCTATGGTCACCACACAAGAATTGACTGATTAGCAAATAACAATACAGGATACCCAGTCAAGTTTGCAATGGACATATGTACTGCATACTAAAAATTATTAATTGTTTATATGAAATTCAAGTGTATTGAGTATCCTGTATTTACATGGCAATGTTATAGCAACCCCCCCTAGCTTTCCTCCCTACTGCCTGCCCCAGTCACCCTCTCAACTCTCCCCTTTGCCCCAAGACATACACAGTACCACCACCACCATGATTACTACCATTACCACCACCATCACTACCACCACGCCACCATTACCACTACCACCACCACCACTCAATATGAGAGTCTAACAAAGAGACAGATGCTTCCTGCAAAAGATTCAGTTCTTTACATACTTTGTCACATTAATATTTTGCTGTTGACTTTGTTAATTGAGGAAAAGCTCTCTGTAAAATCTGCGCCACCCCCCGACCAAAGTGATAATTTACAATCATTATACCTAAGAGAGCAAGAAATTAGGGACTAAGATTAAGAAGATTTTAATTTAAATTTATAAAACAGACAGTGAATATTTGTTGGGGACCTTCAAGTGGCTTAGGAAAGAATGTCTTAGTTTTTCTCTACTTATATCCTTTTGCTTTGGTATTTCTGGAATACCATAGTGGGGAATGGGGGCAGGGAGACTTTGCTGTTTTCTCAGTCCTTTTATTTGACTTCTCTAGGGTACATAACATCACTGACAACTCCTTTGAAGCTTGGTTCCTTTAGTTCTGAGATACCACTCTATCTGGGCATACCTGCTCTTTTTCCAGCTGTCCCTTCTTAACCTCTGTTCCTTTTTGATCTCTGGATCTTTTCTTTTTCATGTATTCTCTCACAATTGATAAATCTTAGGGGTCAATCCTAGACTTCATTTTTCATTCTCTGCCAATACAAAAATAATTTATTCCTTCTCAGTTTTTACTGTAATTTATTCTGATAGTTTTAAAATCTGTAATTCTATAAATCTATAGTTTAGATCTCTTCCTGATTTTCAGGTCAGATATCCAAAATTACCTTCTGATCTTATCTACTTGGATGTCTTATAGTACCTCCAATGCCATTCACCTTATTGTTACCTATTTCTGCCCGGCCCCCACAGTCTAATCATTTTTGAAACTGCTCAATTCCCTATTTTGGTTGGTAGCAACACCATCACTATCTCCCAGACTCCGAAGTGAGAAATTTGGTATTATCCTTGACTTATTTCTTTTCATCACATCCACTTCTACAATCAGGCTTCAGACCTTTTAACCCTAAAACATGCCTATAATCATCTCCTTTTTTCCTCCACTGACACTTTTTAACGAAGGCCATCATCATTGCTCAAGTAAAACTTACATGAGTCCCATGACTAGTAGTCTCCCCTTCCTGACTGTAACTTTATCTCCTACTCTTCTATCCCTACTCTTGCTATTCAAAGTGTGGTCCAAGGACTAGCAATATTAGTATCATCTGGAAACATATTAGAAATGTAACACCTAGGCCCTGACTCTAGACCTTGGAAATGAGAATATGAGTTTTAACAAGATTCCCAGGGGTATTGAATGTATGTTAAAGTTCCAAAAGATCTACTCTCTACTACTGTTGAAGTTACCTTCTGAATCACACGTCTGCTCATTTCTTTCCCCAGTGAAAATCTGCTCGCTTCCTTCCCCAGTGAAAAATGATCTTTGGCTTGGTATCTTCTATATAATAAAATCCAGTCATCCCAGTTTCTCTGTCACTCAGACCTGTAAAGTACTTCATAACTTAATGGTTTCTTAGTATTTTCCTTTCATCCCTGCTACTCTTATATTTTATGCTCTGGTAAAACATAACTGCTCTTGCTCCCGAATCCAAATGCTGTTTCATTCTTCCATGTCTTTGCATGTGTTGCTTTCCCTGCATGGGATGCCCTTCCTTGCCTGGTCCATTTTTCAAATATGCACTTATCTTTAAAACCTCCCCTCACATGTTAAACCTTCCTGACAGTCCTAGGAAAAGATTACCCACACACCCACCCCATATTTTGTGTTACCTTTGTCCATATTGTACTAAGCCTAATATCCAAGCACTTGTATTATAGTTTTTAGGTATTTACCTTTTTTTCTTGCTGGACTATCAATTTCTTGAGAGCATAGTCACCCCGTATTTTCTTAGCCTGTGGAATCATGTGTATACTAAAGGCATGGTTGTTGAATAAATGCCTGGCCTGAGAAAGAGAAGAAAAATGGAACCTCATGAATTAGAGGCACAGACTGGGCCTATTTTATTTTCCAACACCATTTTGTCCTCATGACTTAGTATTATTCTGGATTATTCAATGAGAGAGAGAGTCCTTATCCACTAAATGCGAAAGTTTTTTTTAAAAAATATATTTTATTGATTTTTTTACAGAGAGGAAGGGAGCGGGATAGAGAATTAGAATCATCGATGATAGAGAAACATCGATCAGCTGCCTCCTGCACACTCCCTACTGGGTATGTGCCGCAACCAAGGGATATGCCCTTGACCAGAATCGAACCTGGGACCCTTGAGTTCACAGGCTGACGCTCGATTCACTGAGCCAAACCGGGTAGGGCTAAATGTGAAAGTTTTAATTTCAATAAGTGAAAAGCTTCAAAAAGAGGGACACACATTTCTGATTTCATTATCTTCCCTTTTCTGACTTGTTTCTCTGTCACTCAACCTTTCTGGGAAGTAAACTAGATGAATAAGACAGTTCCCTCATCTTTAAAATGAAAATCTTGGATTGGTGTTTCCCATATCCCTTCTTGTTCTGATCTATTTTGACTCATGGATGCTTCCAAGATTGAAGGTGGGAGGAGAGTGGATAAATGGCCAGGGTGAGAAAGAAAGAGTAAGGGAAGGCAGGAGGAAGGAAAGAGAGTTTTAAATTGCTTCATGTTCAAATCTCCATATGATAAAAGTACTATAAAATCACATTGGAATTGGTTAATATGTTCTGAAGCTATGTCAATAATGGTTAATAGTTAAAAGGTCAAAGTTCCCAGAAATAATGGAGATAAGTGAAACAGCCTTCAGGCATCAGACAGAGTTGGTTAAAAATCAGATAAGATTTTCATTCAGTTGGATCTGGGCATTAGGAGAATTTAAATCACAGATCTGATGAACATTTAGCTCAACTTTTGCTAGAAAGTTTGGGGACAGTAGTTACTGGTCTACAAAGAGAATTAAGTTTACTTTCCTCTGGCTTGAAAGTAGGAAGAAACCAGATCCTCTCAGATATCAAGACCTGACCATTAGTAGGCCAAAACTGAGAGATGCAATATAGAGACTTAGGGATCTCTGGGTAAATATTTTCTCTTAACTTGGAAAAAAACCCACCATGTTATCTAATCAGTGGTACTATAATGGGCTGACTCTAAATAAACCCTAAATTCACTTAACTTCATTTCCTGTTTCAATTTCACTTTACATAACTTGAATGTGTTTCTTTAATGACTGAGGATTGCAGGATGCAGTAAACCCTCTAGCCAGTGGTAATAAACACAAAATATTGCCAGTCTTTATAAAAGGAGAAATGAGGACAGGAGTTGAAGAATGAGTCCTTTCCATTTTTTGGTCATGTAATTGTCAGAATTTAATTTTCTTAAACCAGTTTTCTATTTCAGAATTTTCTTCCTTTTTCCATTATAAGTTGTTCTGCATGTGTACACTCCCCATAACATTCTTAGGAATGCAAAGAAGAAAAGCACTGGTGGCTGTGATAGTGCCTATGAGGAATTGCCCAGTGCCTGATGGTACACTGGTCTCAGACCATGTGTTGGAAGGAAAGATAGTAGAGCTTGCCTGCAAAGAGCTAGAAGCAACTGTGGCTCAGGTATCACCATCCAATAGTTGTATTATTGTTCAATTTTAAAACACTGAAGGTTAAGTGTGAACTGTTTAGGAGAGGAGAGAGCAGGGAGAGGCCTAAGCAAAATAGTGTTCTGAATAAAAGCTAGGAAAACAGCCTACATCTTACTTCATGTTATCCCATCCCACATGCCCACATCTGGTCTGAATTTCTTGTCTTTAATTCCTTTGTTTTACTTTTTATATAGTTTTTATTTGATATGTAATATTTTATAAGTAATACAATGAAAATATTTATATTTTAGTTACTTTTAACTTCATTAAGAGTGCCATATACCATCTTTTGAGACTTATTCACTTCAAGTAATACTAGTTTGCACAGATTAAGATACCCTAACATTGGGAATTGTTAATAATAAGTTCTAAAGCTTCAGAGGAATCGGGTTCCTGGAGCCCAGACTGTGTACAAAATCTCCTCTTAGGCAAAGAGCAGGTAAAGGGTTCTGACCTGAGCTGGTGTTGTACTAAACAAGATTATGAATGGCAGCAAGGCATGGAACCCAGGTACATTGGAAAAACTTTCTCTAGAGGGAGAAGATAGGGCCTATAGCCCCTCATTCCAATGTATCATTGACCAAAGGGGCCAGAGCACAGGCAGATCGAAGATGGAGGAAACATAATCAGGAGGCCAGGTGCCTAGAGAAATTCCTTGAGGGTACTGACTGTAGAGGTTTTTATTGTCTTATCTGAGATCTGCAACCTTACCTAGAAGTGAGAAAGAAGCTCTTAAAAATGCTAATTCAGTTTGTTCTCCTTCATAATACCCTGATGTTTTTTTCTCAGTTTGCTTGGACCTTTGGTATAGGTTAAGTCCTTGACATTCACAGTTCATTTCACATTCATTTGACTATATTCCTTTTCAGGGCCTTGAATACTGTCTTCCCCAAAAAGAGGAACTTCATCTTGTCCCGTTCTACTTTTGCTGGGTCTGGCAAGTTTGCAGCTCATTGGTTAGGGGACAATGCAGCTGCATGGGATGATCTTCGATGGTCCATACCTAGTATCCTTGAGTTCAACCTATTTGGCATCCCCATGGTGAGTTTTACTCTCAACCAAGGAGCTTTGACATTCTTTCCATTACCAGTCTTTGAGGTGTCTGAAAACCAGTGAGCATACAACTCACTTTGATATGTATTGGAAAAATCAATTTTTGTGTGAGCTGCCTTCGGATGATAGGAAGGTAACACTCTATCATTGGCATCCACGGATTCTCTGAAGTTAGAAAGGAGACTCCATGAGTAAAATGTATCAGTATCACAGAAAAATTCCATCAAAAGAGCATCAATGATAGCAAAGCATGAAATTGGGAACTGAATATTGAGGGTGAGCCCTTAATAAAACATACAACAGTCAGTCTTCCTCTCGTCAGTCAATCCATGATTGCACACTTTCTTTATTCTCCCATTTGGCTGGGGGCTTACCCTAAAACCTTGGGACCTCTTTAAGCATGGAGTGATGGGAATAAGAGATTCTCATTTCCTTTATCACATAGGTATACAGTAAATGCTTTCTCCTCTCTCACTGACCATTGTGCTGTATGTATGCCTATTTTCCAGGTCGGTGCCAATATCTGTGGTTATAAAAATAATACCACAGAGGAGCTCTGCAGAAGATGGATGCAGCTTGGAGCATTTTATCCACTATCCAGGAATCACAATGGGCCTGGGTTCAGGGTAAGGTCCCCAAGAGAAGTGATGGAAACTTCTTGGGTTATCTAATCTACCTGTTTTCAAAGAGGGAGTTGAAGAAAATACTCCAGGTTGGCCCTAAGTGCAAGAGCAGAATAGATAAATTTTCAGTGATAGATTAAAAACTCTTTCCATAAAGAATGTCATTAAGATATCTTATTATATATATGTATATATAATGGTTTTATTGTTAAAAACTCACCAACAAATGTAAGAGGGGTTACTAAAGTTTCTATGGTGCTGCTATCAGTTCTGGTACCACTTTATATAAGATAGGACAATTGGAGTCCATTGATATTTTACTTCAGTTAATACAAGGAAAACCACTCCTAGGTATGGGGGATCAAGGAGAAAGGATTAAGAGAAGGCAGGCCAGTGATCTGAACATTTTTTCACTTTTTACAACATTCTATCTTTCTATGGATGGTTTGGGAGACCACTCCCTGCTACTTCTCATGACATATCCTGCATTTCTCCTCTTCTAACCAAAATCATATTTTGATGGCAAGTCTATAGAAAGGGTTCAAAGTCTGTAGTAAGAAGATGTTTATCATGATGGTGATGGCAAGAACAAGTAGGGTGGGATGCCCTTTCTTTTAATGAATAAATATGCAGCTGAAATGATTTAAATTAAGTGATTTAGCTATTAATAGGCACACTAGAGTTACATACTGATAATCATTTAAGTTCTAGTTCTTGCCTTTGTCCAACGACATCTCTAACCTGGAAAAGATGTGTAGTCAGATATTCAAAGTATTTTAACCCTGGGTTGTCCTAGCAGAGAGGGATGAACTATTTCTGAATTCCAAGCAGATGGCCAGAAGCAGGGAGCGGGGTGGGGGTGCTCTTCCTGAAGAGATGGCCTGGAGAAATTACGTCCATAGGAGCACTCAGATCACTCTCGCTGCCAGCTTACAGTGCTTGTTTTCTCTCCTCCCAACTAGTACCAGCCATAGAATGATAATGGGAGCCACACATGGAAGTTTAAATGGGAATTGAAAAAGTACAAAGAAACAGGAACAATTTTTTAATCTATTTTATATAGCTCTTTATATAAATCTATCTTTACTATTATTTCAACCCATATTTTATACAAAATATTAATATGAGCTATTTTATATTCTTTTCTTTCTATAAAGTCTTCAAAACTCAGTGTACATTTTGCACTTGCAATACATCTCAATTTGGATGCTGAACTTACAGCAGCTGGAGTGAAATGTAGTCCTACCAAAACAATAAAGTTATGTTTACTAGAGAAATACTTTAACATTGATTCAGTTTTAGGTTTATATTTAAATTAACTATTAGCAAATATAATTAAAAGTGTAGTTCCCCAATCTTACTAACTACATGATTGTATCGCAAATCAGTGAGCTGGACAAGACACCTAATGAGCCCATTAGTTAGGAGTTATCTTTATTGCACGCAGGTTCAGAGCAGATTACCTCTGTCAAATTCTGAACAAACACAGGAGGGAGTATTTCCTTCTTATATCCTTCTAGTTCTTGTGTAAGACAGCTTGTAACCTTGAATAGATATTATATCTAATCAAACAGCTGTAATATCTATACAGACAACTTGTAACTTTGAGTACATATTATATCTAATCAAACACCTATAACCTTGGATGAACAAACACTTGGCAGAATATGTGAATTAATATAGTGTATCAGCTCCTTTAAATGGCTAGCTTGCAAGGTCAGACAATTAAGTTTATCTTTTCTATTCAAGCAAAAAATCAAAGTTATTTTATAGTCTAAAAATAACAGAGTTGACCCACGGAATAAGAGACTGTCTAAGAATAACAGAGTAGTTCAAACAGCAGTTTTTCCTAAGGAGGGATTATTACCATGCTTCAATATAAGTGCTTAATAGCCCCATGTGACTGATGGCCACCATGATGGACAAGGCACCTCTAGATTGTCTCAGTTGGAGACCAGATGCTGGAAGCTGTGGAGTGTTATTTTCTTGGGTGTTTAGCCTCATCGTGGTATAGAGTAGTTCTATTTGGAAGGGGGAAATGGGCAATTTGGGGAACAAAAGAAAGGAATAAATTTAGATAATTTTTTCTAGAATTCAGTCCCAGTAATACTATAAGGATAACAAGTTTAAATTTGATATGCACATCTTTCAAAGAACAAGGAAAATGAACAATGAACAAAATGCATGTCCATCATTGATGAAAATGTATGTTTCTGGGTCCTAAGAGAATTAGATTTCCCTCATAAAGGGTTCTTTCTTTGCTCTTAGATAAAATCTGCTAAAAACTGTCTTCCTGATTTCTTTGTACTTTGTGTATTGAAGAACAAATAGAGGTCACTGTCTTTGGGACAGAGAAAATAAAACAAATTTTGATGGTGAAAACATTATAAATAAAACCACACATAAATTTTAACATTGCAAATTCATAAAAGTGCATAAGAAAAAAGATGGATTATAGGTCATGGTGGTTTAAGGCACTGGGTTTCAATTTTTTAAAATATATTTTTATTAATTTCAGAGAGGAAGTGAGAGGGAGAGATAGAAACATCAATGATGAGAGAGAATCATTGATCAGCCGCCTCCTGCACACCCCCTATTGGGGATCGAGCCCGCAACCCAGGTATTAGCCCTGACCAGGAATCGAACCAGTGACTTCTTGGTTCCTGGGTTGACACTCAAGCAATGAACCCCATGGGTTGGGCTCAAATTCCTTTTTAGTGGTAGTATGACTTTATTATTTGCCAAATGAAGTATCATGAGAAACCTCAATATATAAAATAAATTGGAGCAGCTCTGGGGAAGCAGGGCCCACTATAGGCCCTTTATCTTCTTGGGAATCTCTGTAGATTTCTTTATCATCCTGAGGCGGTCATGAATCAATGTCAGAAGACATGTGTCAAATTTAAACTCTGCCACTTCCTTGCAATTTTATACTGTATTTTTGACATGGTTTTCTTATCTATAAGATGAAGGAGCAGGTAGGTCCCAGATCCTTTCAGTTCTGGAAATGCTTCCACATCTTCAAGTTGGAGAACATTGCTATTTTCTTGTGAGAAAACTTATCAAAGAGGACTTTTAAACTATGATGGAAATATTTAGTAATCACTTATGTTTCCTCCTAGGACCAGGACCCTGCTGCCTTTGGTGAAGACTCTCAGCTATTGAGTTCCTCCAGGCATTATCTGAACATCCGCTACACCCTGCTGCCTTATCTCTACACTCTCTTCTACCGAGCTCATACCCGGGGGGAAACTGTAGCGAGGCCCCTGGTCCACGAGTGAGTTTCCTTATCCGCAAAGACATCCTTTCAGATTATAGTTTCGCTTCCCTTGTTAGTAGTAACAAGGTTTGTTAGGACCTTGTTTTCATATAATGAGCTGCTCTCTTATGTTGGAAGCTTCACCTACCTTCTCTGTTTTCCAGGTTCTACCAGGACAATGCTACATGGGATGTGCATGAGCAGTTCTTATGGGGACCTGGACTCCTCATCACGCCTGTGTTATATGAAGTGTGTTTATAATCTAAGCAGTGGGATGGTATATCAACAGTAGTCCTCATGGCTCTATAGCTGAATAAGCTGGAGGCTGAATATCTTTGGCTGCATTTAAATATAAATATGAATAAAATGAGAGCTTGTGAACATTTGGAAATTAGAAAAATAGTAATTCTTGGTCCCACTGCCTCACCAAGCAAAACAATTTCCATTTTGTAAGCTTACAACAAAGCCTGTGTCCTAATGGACATTGACAGGGACTTTAAATGCCTGGGGCTGGCCATCTGTCTGTGTTTCCGTTTGACCGGAGAGGATGTGCTCTTGGGGTTAGGAAGAGAGAAGAGGTGGGGAGAGGAGTAGGGAGGGAGAGAGGAAGGCTGGTCAAGGGGCGGTTGTTACTGTAGAGTCCACATATGAAGTGTGATTTGGGGCAGCAGTGATTGGGGAAGTACAGGGAAAGAAAGGGGGTATCAGGGTTATGTTGACCAGTTTGTAAACATGGAAGGTCACCAATGTACTCATATAAAAGGCCCTTGGAGTTGGTGTTTTAGCCACACCATCTCATGGCATGTCCTGCTATAGTGATGCTGCTGGAAGGTTCTCCCGGGTGCCTGACTGTTTAAATTTCCCACCTGCCAGATTACACAAGTAACTCAATGAATGAACTTTCTCTGCTTCTCTTAGAAAGTTCAGGAACCTCCAGCAAAACAAACTTAAATTCTGGTACAGATCTTTTTTGGATGAACTGCCCGACCTCTCTGAGTATCTGTATTTTCATTGGTAGAATGGCAGAATCCCAACTATTTCTCAGGATTGTTCGGAGGAGCACATGCAGCCACACGTGGAGGTGTTGTGCAAACTGTAAAAGGATATGCTAATGTCGCTCATTGTTGTTGTTTCCCTAGGGTGTGGACCGGGTGAAAGCATACATACCAGATGCCATCTGGTACGACTATGAGACAGTAAGTGAGGTAGCCCTCTTGGCCCAGAGACCCACCTCTAGCAGAGGAAGTTCTAAGGCAGCAGCATTGTTGGGAGCTTGGGTAGGATGATAGTATGAGGCTTTACATTTAGCTGATTGTGGGTACTTTTCCATGTGGAAGGTCTTTCCCAATATACCATGAAATAATTTGAATAACTGGGGTAGGTTGATGGGAATGTTCATTATGTCAACCTGGCTACTATGCGGCTGTCAGGATTTAGGCTGTGATAACCTAGAGAGTTAAAGCCTGCTTGTGGAATCATAGCATGGTGTAATACAATGAAATAAGATGGGTTGGAGTCTCAGCTTTGCTATCTACTTACTACCTTTATGCCTTGGACAAGTCACCTTCCCTTTTGGGAGGTCTCAGTTTTTCTCTTATTTAAAATGAGACAGTAAAAGTAGAAGATCTCCATGATTCCTTCTAGCCTAAACAGCCTATTATCTGATTTGTTTTCTTTTGTTGTAGGGAACAGCCATCCAATGGAGGAAACAATTGGTGGAGATGCAACTGCCCCCTGATAGGATAGGACTTCACCTTCGAGGGGGCTACATATTTCCCATCCAGCAGCCAAACACAACCACAGAGGCCAGGTAAGCTGTAAACTCCTCACTTTTCTAAGGTGTAACTGCTCTCATGCTCCAAGGGGCAGAGCATTAGGGAAAGGTTAATAGAGGGACTAAAAGTGGATATACTCAAGGAAGACATCTTTAATCAGTGATCTTCCTCCCTTCCTTTCAAGGTTGGCCCCAAATTGGCATCTTAGTCTTCATTTAGGGGGTAAAAGTAGCCTCTGTTCCTTTGCATTTCCACAATCTTTTACTTCTGGATTGAATCAGATTATAAGAATTGTCAATGATCTCATTGACTCATGATTGAATAAGATAACGAAGTAAGGGACTAGTTGTTATTGTTTTCTTTATGGTCAAAAATTTTCCTCAAGGAGGTTCACTTAGGCATAAGAGAATGCAAGTCAAATAGGAGATCAAAGACAAAATAACTTCAAGGTCAAGAGCCAGAAATTTTGGGTTCAAGTCCCAATTCTACGTCATACCAGATGTATTGTTATGGTAACTTATTCTTTGTATTTCTGCTTATCATTTGTAAACCAGGGATGATGATAGTTTGGTTTTTTAGAGTTATTGTAAGCTTTGAATGAAATAATATAAAAATTTAATGTACATAAAACACTTAGGTGAATTCCTGGCACATGATAAGCAGCGATTAGTGCTAATTGTTAATGTTATCACAAACCCAGTTTTTACCAGGAGCTGTCTCCTTTGACTATTCTTCTCATGCTCATTCACTACTAACCTCTGTTGTCTACCCACACCCAGCTTCCGTGTTTCCATTCAAGGTCATGATCTACTCACTTTCTAGGATAAACTCTGAAATTATCTGTCTGTGAAGCATGAAGGGGGCTTATTTAACACAGTTCTATCTCTTCTTCATTCTCTGAAACTGAGACTTGCTCTTTTGTAGTCGGAAGAACTCCCTGGGACTCATTATTGCCTTGGACTACAAGAGAGAAGCAAAGGGAGAGCTGTACTGGGATGATGGTATATCTGCAGGTAGACCTCCTTATGGCACCACCACTGCAGTGCTCAGTGAGATTAGTCATTGCAAGCTGCCCAATACAGTGCTCACTCTGTTATCATTGATGCTTATTTCTATAGCTTAAAAATCAACTTATTCTGAGATTTGGTTGGCCAAGCACAATGCAATTAAAATAGACTTCAGATGAGCAAGTTGTATGTTACTGACTATACCAAAGCAACAGACATTATTGGATTTAGTTTAATTATTCTTTCCTCTGGGTATCATTATTAATACCAAATTATACTTTTTGCTCATAGATTTGCAAAATACTTCTTTGGTTACTATTGAAGGGAGTATCTTATCTGTGTAGTGTGTTTTTTCCACTGTAGGATTTTCATATAAGTACCTCACACAAGCTTATGATCTGTGATGATATAAAAATCCTTCCCTGCACAGAATTAGCATTTGTTACTATTTATTGGCTATTTATGATTGCATTGCATGGAGGGGACATAAAGATGAATAAGACATTGACATTGCACTTGAGGAACTCCCGGTGCAGCAGGATAGATACATTGTATATGTGGGTACTTTTAATGCAAGTCAAAATGTTGTAAATGCCAGCAAAACAGTATCTCATAGAGGCCATGGGAGTTCGGAGGATGAAGCAGTTACTGTGGGTTGAAGTGGCCAGGAAACCTTTGTGGAGATTTGACAAAAATGGGTAAAACGTGGCTAAGCAGAATCAGATGGCAAAGGTATTCCCACTGAGAGAAACGCCTTTACTTTCTATGTGATGAGGACCCTCTGTCCTTCTCTTTCAGATGCTGTAACGGAAAAGAATTATACTCTGTATGAGTTTTCTGTCACCTCAGTAAGTACTGTTTCTGAGGAACATACAGTATATGTTCTTTGCTGTGACTGCTTTGATTTGCTATAGAAGAGTAGTTGTGTGGAATAGGGACAGTGCTTGACTCCAATGGTCTCAGAAAGGATATATAAGGTGTAAGAATTCGGCATTAGTTCAGTGAAGAACTAGTTTGCGTGTGTGTGTGTGTGTGTGTGTGTGTGTGTGTTTCTGGAAAAAATGCATTGCCTCTGAGTTTTATACGATGAGTCCTGGCTTCCAAGATATGCCTTATTTGGGGGTGGGGGTGGGTTGTACAAGTGTGTGTGGTATGTGGGCTATGGGTGGGAGGTGGTGAGTGGTGCACTGCAATTTTGAAGTTCCTCCATAATGACCTTGCTTCCCAACCTCTAAACTTGGCCTTGGACACAGGTATGAATTGGTGCTTTTGAGAGATTGGGAGACACAGAATAGCACTCCCACATTGTCTCTATTTCCCAAAGGGTCTGAGAGGAAGAAAGGAGTTAGGCTAGCAGTGGATGGGAGAAATCTAATCTGGTTTTCTTAGATGGCTGATTATGCATGGGCAGAGATTTCTTTTATGGGAATCTCTCTCCCTTATTTCCTTCCTTTTATGTTTCTACTGTTGCTGTTTTTTTCAATTATACTTTTCATTTTGAGATAATTATAGTACCCCATGTAGTTGTAAGAAATAATAGAGATCTGTTTTACTCTTTACGCAGTTTCCCCTAATGGGAGCATCTTATAAAATAGTACAATTTTACAATAAGGATATTGATATTGATGCTGTCAAGACACAGAACATTTCCATCACTACAGGATCCTGCCTATGGTCCTTTTATAGCTACACCTACTTGCCTCCTCCCCTCCCCCTTTGTTAGCCCCTGGCAACCACTATTCTGTCCACCATTTGAATAATTTTGTCCATTCAAGAATGTTATGTAAATGGAATCATACAGCAGGTAGCATTGGAGACTGTTTTTTTCCCACTCAGCATAATTCCCTCAAAATTCATTCAAGTTGTGGTGTATCCATAGTCCCTTTCATTGCTGAGTAGTATTCCAAGATACCCAGCTTTTATTTAACCATTCACTTAGTATAGAGCATCTGGGCTATCTCCATCAGGCGCAGTTACAAATGAATAAAGCTGCTATGCACATTATGGACAGCTTGTGAACACAGGTTCTTGTTTCTCTGAGATAAATGCCTAAGAGTACAATTGCTTGGTTCTACAATAAGTGCATGTTTAGTTTTATAAGAAACTGCCAAACTGTTTTTCAAAGTGGTTGAACCATTTTAGATTTCTAGCAGCAGTGTATACATCACCCAGTTTCTACGCATCATAACAAGCATTTGATGTTATGATTTCATTCTGATGAGAGGGTAGTGATATCTCATTGTGGTTTTGATTGGTATTTCTCTGATGTCTAAAGATGTTGACTTTTTTTGTGCCTGTTTGTATATTCCCTTAGGTGAAATGTCTACCTATTTATTTTGCCCATTTTCTAATTAGATTATTTGCCTTATTTTTCTATTCAGTTTTGAGTGTTTTTTAAAAAATATATTCTAGAAACCAGTCCTTTGTTTGATTTATGGTTTGTAAATATTTTCTTTCAGTCTGTAGATACCTCTTTTCATCCTCAAAGTCTTTCACAGAGCAAACATTTTTTATTTTGATGGGCCTAATTTATCTTTTTGTTCTTTTGTGGATCATGCTTTTTGGTGTCTAATATAAGAACCCTTCCTAGTCCTAGATATTGAATATTATCTCCTAAACTTTTTTTATATATAAATTATATATATATATATAATTTTTATATTAGATGTGACATTTAGGTTGAGGTTCAACTTTTTGCCTATGTACATCCAGTTGTCCCAGCACCATCTGTTGAAAGGCTATTCTTTCTCCACTGTGTTGCTTTTGCACCTTTGCAGAAATCAGTGGGGCATATTTGTGGGATGCCTAGTCTTTCTAAACATCAAAGTGTTCCTTTTTTCCCCTTAGTCTTCAGTTCCACTTTCTTTGTCATAGCTCAACTGTGTCACTTTTGAACTGTGGTTCCCTGAATAAGATATCTAATTTCTCTGGGCTTCACTCTCTTCCTCTGAAAAAGTTGAGATAATTAGAGCTTCAACCTCATAGTTTGCTGTGAGACTTCAATGAGATAATACATGTAAAATGCTTATTACAGTGCCTGACACATAGTAAGCATTTATGCAATTAACCTCTCATCAGTATTATAATTGGAATACAAAAAAAAAAATTATGTGGGCACCATTTTGTGTGTATCCTTTGTGTGTTAAAGTTTCTCTTGTGGGCTTCTGTCTTTTTGTTTTCTTTGTTGGTACCCATCACATCTGCTTGAAAATTCCATGATGTCAGGAACATATTTTCTGAATAATGGAATCAATAAATAACCAGAGAACCAAAGCAAGCATAAAATATTACACTAAGACTTAAGACTGTTAAATGTCTGGGTTAACATATTTCCTGGGGAAGATCATCAGACACTTTCTAGAACCTCAGAGATAAAGGATATAATTTAGATCATAGAAAGAAAGATGTTGAGTGGCATTGGGCACAGTTAGAATGTGATATACTTGGTCTCTAAACTGACTTTTTTTTTTTCCAGAACCATCTACAAGCAAAGATTACAAATAATTATATGGATTCCGACAACCTCACATTTACAGATATCACAATCTTGGGAATGGACAAAGAACCTACTAATTTTGTCCTTAATGATATTGACATTTTAAACGTTAGCTACAATGCATCAACGAAGGTGGGCAATTGTTCCATCCTGCCATCCTGCAGGGCCTTTGCTGGAAGCTGACAGCCCTGAGATTCTGACAACCAGCTCTCTCTCGCTCTATTGAGTTTGGAGGGGCACAGAGACACTGGCATGCTGGGAAATCGACCACACCCTAGGGAGGATACAGACGGATAAACATGCTTGCTAAACATGAACCCCTGAACTTTGAAAAAGGCAGTTCTTTCAGTGGGACCTGGAAGAAGGCAGTTCTCTGGGCAAATTTAAAACTAGACATTCTGATCCCACATGTGATGCAGTTCCATACATTATTATTCAAACTATATTATTTGATACATTGGCCTTGTTCTAGAAGGTATTTACACATTCACCCTCTCATTGAGTTAAAGACCCCTTTTGAGACACAGCTGATACTTTCCTTAGTGTTTTAAGCAATTTTTATATCATTATAGAAAATGAGAGTTGAATAAAACAGCAGGGGTAATCAGTTTTATCCTTATTTTTAAAAATATATTTTTATTGATTTCAGAGAGGAAAGGAGAAAGAAAGATAAAAACATTGAATTGGCTGCCTCCTCCATGCCCCACATTGGGGATTGGGCACCAGGAATTGAACCATGACCTCCTGGTTCATAGGTTCAACTATTGAACCAAGCCGTCTGGGTGGTTTTGTCCTTTTTGAATGAGTCCCTTACATGATAATCTCAGACAAAAGATCCCAATTATTAGTTGAGTATTTCAAGTGCTGGGGAATTCCCTATTTTGTAGGGAGGCCTCCTTCCATTTAGGCAACACATATACCCAAAGATAGGAGCTTGGGTTCTAGAGTTAGGCTGAATGGGATTCCAATCCTAGCTCTACCAGCCCTTAGCTATGAGATCTTGGGCAAAGCATTTAACCTCTATGAACATCAGTTTTCTGTTCTGTGAAATGGAGAGAACCATATTTTTTGCAGCATAAGATTGCTTTATAGCATTAATAGAGGGAATGCATATAAAGTAGTATCACAGTGCCTGGTACACATACATACTCAATAAAACTTAGCAATTGTTATAATTGTCACCATTATTAAAATGTATAGGCATCACTCCCAGAAGGCAATTGCCCAACAATGACAGCACTCCCAGTGATTAGTACTCCTTAACATGATGGAAGCCTTTCCCATTCAGTATACTATAATGATTTGAGGTGAGAAGCATCGGGAATGAGCCAAGTGCATTTTCCTGGCAAGGAGGTCAAAAGTCCCAGAGGAGGAACAATAATATTCCAACTATCCCCCAACAAAGTGGTATTGGATGAAGGCTATCTTAAGGTAAAATGACATTAGATGAAGGATGTCACATGGCAGGGTTGTATTGGACGAAGGCCATCCCAAGGCAAAGTGGGATTGGATAAAAGGCTAGCTCCCCCATGCTTTACTTCCCAACCATCAGGGAAGGACATTATCCAGGTGTCTCTATTTCTCCTCATTTGTCACTGTGGCCTTCTTTCTCGTTCCTCAGGTGGTGAAAATCACTGATCTCGAGGGACTGGTACTGGGACAAGAATTCTCCATGAGGTGGACTCTTTTGGTCAGTAACCAAGAGAAGTTCAACTGCTACCCTGAGGAGCCCACTCCCTCTGAGGAGAAGTGCAAGCAGCGGGGGTGCCTTTGGGAGGTAAGGATGAGGAGCAGATTACCACAGTGAGCAGGAAGTTGTAAAAACTGGCCCAGGAGTGATTAGGCACCAAGAAACATTTTCCAAACACTGTTGGGTTGAATGGGAATCATTCTTCAGAAAGAAAACAATACTGTGCCAACAGATGCACCATTTTGTCAACGCTGAGTGGCAGGCAATCAGTGTTTTCCTCAGATATCCTGAATGAGAAGAAACTCATTGCTGCCCTGGCTCCCTCTTTTCTCTAATCTCCTTATTTTAAACCCACTTTTATTTTTAACATAGCAACAATACATTGTGCATTGAGTATTTTAAGTGATTTTTTTTCATCAATTAGAGTTCAGGCAGGAAGGTAAGGTATGAGTCTTACCCTCCATTTGAAAAACAGAGAGAATGAAAGCCAGAGAAAGAGAAAATAAACGATTTCCTAATGTCACAATGGGGGCAACTATCCCATGGCAAAGTGGTATAGTTTGGGGGCATTGGGAGCAGAACCCTGCCTTAGGATTCCAGTCTCCAGATAAGCTACCTGCTGACCCTTCACTACTCACCTGTTACAAACATAAAGATGTCCCCCCAAAATGTATGCACACTTCTTTGAATAATTATTCATTCCAATGGGTTAAATCTGAAAAGAAAGAAACATTGGAATGAATAATTATTCAAAGTGTGTATGTATTTTTTGGGACACCTTATATTATTTCACTGTTTTGAGAGCAGTAGTTCAAAATCAAGGTGTTCGCAGGTTTGGTTCCTTTCGAGGGCTGTGAGGGACAATTGGTCCCATGTCTCTCTCCTAACTTCTGGCGGTTTCCTGGCAATCATTGGTGTTCCTTGGTTTGTAAAAATGTCACCTCAATTTTTGCCTTCCTCTTTACATGGTGTTCTTTCTCCGGGCACATATATATCTCTGTGTCCAAATTTCCCTATTTAATAAGGACACCAGTTAATATTGGATTAGACCCACCCTAATGATCTCATTTAACTAGGTCATCTGCAAAGATCCTATATCCAAATAAGGTGCCAGGTGTTAGGACTTAACATCTTTTTGGGGGAACATAATTGAACACATAATAATGGGCATAGTGTCAGAGACTTAGTCTGTGTTAACCAACATTTTTTAGAAATCAGAGTGTGGTGTTGGAGGCTGACTGAGAATTCATCCTCTCATTGCAGAACACAGATGTTCCTGGTGTGCCCACCTGTTTCTATGACACCATCCCTAAGTATGCTCCCAGTAATATTCAGTACTCGCCCACTGGCATCACCACAGACCTTACCCACCTGACAGCCCCTGAGTCAGCTCGAGCAGCAGCACCATCACTACGGAGCACACGACGTACACCTGCAGCAGCAGCCACCACCTCTCACCCTCTCTCTGCAGAGATCAGCTCCCTTAGGATCAGCGTGATCTACCACACAGAAAGCATGCTGCAGTTCAAGGTAATGCCCCTGTTGCAGATTCCGGTCGTCAGCACAGAGTTCTTGTGGTCTGGAAATTACCAAAACATATTTTAGTCCAAATCCCTCATTTTAGAGTTGAGGATGCTGAAGCCCAGAAAGGTAAAGGCCGGAAAGTCAGGAGATAGTAGAGTTGGGTGTGGCCTTAGATCCACCGGGGTTGTCCATGTCCCATAGTGAAGGGTTCTGTCAGTCAGAAAGATCCTCAAAGGATTACTGAGACACATTAGCCCTGAGAACAATGTGTCTGCTTTTTGGTAAACTCATATGGGTGGCATTGACTCATTTCCAACATTACAATTATTTCTCTAGCAGTTGATACTTCAACTTAATATGCATCAGAATCACTTGTAGCTCTTGTTAAAAGACATTGCTGGGGCTCCTGCCCAGGGTTTCCAAGAATTTGCATTTCTAATGAATTCCCAAGTGATGCTCCTGCTGCAAATTAAGAGGCCACACTTTGAGAACCACCTCTCTGCTAAAAAAGAAATATGATGTGAGCCACATACGTTTTCTGATAACCATATTTTAAAAAATGTATTGAAAAAATTAGGTGAAATGGATTTTAATAGCATTTTATTTTACCAAGTTGCTCAAATGTTATCAGTTCATCATGTAATCAAAATACAATTACGTATTGAGATACTTTAGATTATGGTCAGATTAAATCTTCAAATTCTGGTGTGTATTTTGCATTTGTAGTGAGTTTCAGCTAAGACTAAGACATTTCAAGGCTTAATGGCCACACATGGCTAGTGAGTACCACCTTGGACAGTTCACTCTAGACATTGCTTTTCACATTTCACTGTTGGGTGAATCACCCCAGGGACCTTCTGAAAATGAAGATTCTGATTCAGAAAGTCTGGGGTAGGGCCCCAAATTCTGGAGAAAAAACTGAGCAGCAACTGGAAGCTCAACTAGTAAGAAGATCTCATAGTTCATATGAAAACTCAGTTCTCTAATTTCTAACATATGTACACATGCTAACACATAGTCTTATACAATTATGTGTACATACTGTTCACATACCGCACTCATAAACACACATGCACACGTTCTGTCTATGAGATTCTACACCCTTAAATTACAAATTCCTTAGAGGTAGTGCCCTCCCTGGCTTTGATGGGTATTGTTGAGGGTGGGTTTTTTTTTTCCAGTTCAGGATGTGTTGGGCATAGTGGATGGGTAGGCCTCACATCTATTTGCTTTGGGATATTTGATGCTTCCTGATGGGAACTGAATTTTGAGCTGGTATGAGAGGTTTTAGGTTTGAGATTCCATCAGAAAGTCTCCTTCTTTCTCACTGTCAGATCTATGATCCCACTAATAAAAGGTACGAGGTCCCAGTGCCTCTGAACATCCCTTCCTCTCCTGTTGGCTCACCTGAAAACCGTCTGTATGATGTCAGGATTCAAAACAATCCTTTCGGGATCCAGATTCAACGAAAGAACTCCAGCACTGTGATGTAAGCACCACTTATTTGATTCTAATTAGAGTGGTTCTAGATCTAATTGCAGTGGTTCTAATGAATGCAAGTGAAATATTAACCTTCAACACTCTACGTGTATGTTTGTTTTTTAAACAAAGAGGATATCTATCCCCCCCACACACACACTTCAATGGGGATTTCATTTCTTATTAGTCATTAGCTCAACAAGAACAATTAAGCAATCAAAGACTTAAAAATACTAAGTGTTGCTTGATTTCAGAAAAAGAAAAATACATATTTTACTCATTGTTCTGGTTAAATAGAACAGAAAACTCTATATGCCTCATTAAGAAATAATAACAGAAGAGCCAGGAGAGAGGGGTAAGGGGTAGTAAGGAGAGAGAAATGGTGTCTTGCAGTCTTTGCTGCTATTGACACTATAGACTTAAAGCCTTTTCACAATGTTAAGCATGAAAGGAATTGCCACCTCTCATCCCTGACCTGCTGCTGAATGGCATGATCCTCAGGTCTGGATTTGCCTGGGGCTGAAGCCCCTCATCCTATTAGAAACTGTCACCTGTACGTGCACATGCGGACAGCCTTCGGCTCTCTTTGACTATGGTCTGACTTTCTTTCTTTTTTTTAAAATATATATTTTATTGATTTTTTACAGAGAGGAAGGGAGAGAGATAGAGAGTTAGAAACATCGATCAGCTGCCTCCTGCACATCCCCCATTGGGGAAGTGCCCGCAACCCAGGTACATGCCCTTGACCGGAATCGAACCCGGGACCTTTCAGTCCTCAGGCCGACGCTCTATCCACTGAGCCAAACCGGTTCCGGCTGGTCTGACTTTCTGTCTGTTGGCTTCTTTGGTAAGAAGTTCTTTGGCCAATCCAGAAAAGTCATTCTGAGTTTCACACTTTTCTATTGGAAAACTTGCTCAGACCTTATTCATTGATTCAGGCTGATGTACCAGGCAATGAGATCTAGAAATAAAGAGATGAGTGACACTCTTAAGGGCCAATTAATCAGAAAAGGAGTTGCTAGTCTTGCAATCCACAGAATAAAAACGCAAACACAGAGCTGTGGTAGCGAGTCATGGACATTCTTATGACCTGGGTCATCTCACAGTAACTGAACCTGGATCCAGGTGTGCAGCCATTCAGGAGGCTTCTGAATCAGCTAGACATCTGAACTGTATCCTCTGTTTGCTCCGGCCTGTGATCAGCTTTGCTCAAAGGTATGCCTCTGTGTTGCAGTTGGGATTCTCAGCTCCCAGGCTTCACCTTCAATGACATGTTCCTTTCCATTTCTACTCGCCTCCCCTCTGAGAACATCTATGGCTTCGGAGAAACTGAGCACACAACTTTTAGAAGAAACATTAGCTGGAACACATGGGGAATATTTTCTCGAGATGAGCCACCAGGGGTAAGTACAGAAGAATAAGATTATCCATCAGTTGCTCTCTGTGTAAAATTATTTTAATCCACATATGTACCCTATTCATGAACTTCAGCTTATATTGATAAAGTCTGCTCTCAAATGAAATAGGCCACATGTTATGTAATGTCCTTCTGTCCCTAAATGTCTTTTAATCTTTTAGAAAATAAATATAGGGTGGGTAAAAGTAGGTTTATAGGTGGGTTATATGTAAGATAATAAAATAATTAACAAATAATAACACAAGTGTAAACTGTGCTGTGTTTACATTCTCACAACTGTAAATCTACTTTTGCCCCACTCGTGTGTGTGTGTGTGTGTGTGTGTATGTGGTGGAAGGAAGGGTCAAACAATTTTTCATAAAGGACATGACATTGTGCTAAATCTTCAGTGTTGACTAGGAGTTGGCTGTTTGGGTTATGAGGAGGACAGAATTTCTTGGATTTTCTCTTTTTGTTACTCATCTACTCCCCCCGTGACTCTCCCAGTACAAGAAGAATTCCTATGGTGTCCACCCCTACTACATGGGACTGGAGGAGGATGGCAATGCCCATGGAGTGCTTCTGCTAAACAGTAATGCCATGGGTAAGATAAAGACAGTTTTCCTGCAGCCACTTTATCAGAATCTGGAATATTAATAGAAATAAGAAAGTTCAATGGCCAGGGAAATGGGGCACATAACCCGACCTTTTATTTATTCATTTATCCATGATTTATTAAAATCTCTAGGCCAGGTATTGGGAGTAAAATTTTGACTAAACATGGTCCCTACTTTGGTATGACCTTGTTTGACTTTGCCATTTTAATTCCCTTTCGCAGAACATTATAAAAGGTTAAGATTGAAATTGTGTTTGGGGTACCTGAAAATCCATCTCTGATTCCACAGTATGAAAGAAGACTTTCCAGAGGAGGTGGGCACTAAAAGAAGAGAGTGAAAATAGCAAATATTAGGGCAGAGTCCCTGTCTGGGTAATTTATAGTTCTCAAGATGCTCCTCATGTTTGTCTATATGTGTGTGTGTGTGTGTGTGTGTGTGTGTGTTTGTTTTTTTTAACAGATGTGACATTGCAGCCTACTCCTGCCCTGACATATCGCACCACAGGAGGGATTTTGGACTTTTATGTAGTTTTGGGGCCAACTCCCGAGCTTGTAACCCAGCAATACACTGAGGTCAGAATTCATTGTATTCATTAATTAACCATCCAAGGCTTATTGGATATTGCACATTCTTAGCACTGAGAAAGGCCAATTTTACTTTTTACTAGAGGCCTAGTGCATGAAATTTGTGCACTGGTAGGGTCTGTAGCAGCTGCTGGCTGCCAGCTGGGTACTCCTCTTCTCTCCCCCCTCCATTCCCGGCTGCCTGCTGCTGCCACCACCGATGATGGCTGGGGCCTCAATCCCTTCCCCTTGCTAGCCCCACCCCTGGTTGAACTCCCAGACAACTCCTGGTCGAGGGGACAATTTGCATACTACGTTTTTATTATATAGGATGGTCCTTGAGTATTCCTACTACATTATCACTATTTTTTATGAGAGTAGGGTTTTAGTGTTAAAGGATATTGATATCCCATATGTCTCTTAATTATTTGCTATAAAACCTTTCTAAGAATCTCTAATCAGTAATAACCACTGAATTTTCAGGTTTCTTAGAGTGGAAGCTCTAGGATATAGAGAGACTTTCTATCATTCTGCATCTCCATGATTGTTCCACATTTATGAGACCTCTTAGATCAGACAGGCAGTAAGTAGAAGTGCTGAAGTTGTTTCAAGCATAAGCTAACTATCTTTTTTTTACCCTAAGAATCTACTTGGATCCGTTTTTCTTTTTTATTCTAGTTGATTGGTCGGCCAGCAATGGTTTCATACTGGGCCTTGGGATTCCAGCTGAGTCGCTATGGATACCAGAATGATACTGAAATCTCCAATTTGTATGATGAAATGGTGGAAGCCAATATTCCCTATGTATGAAACCTTCACCCTACCTGTGGTTTAATTAGTTATGGGGGCTTATGGCTAATTATAAATTGAAAACATCTTCATAGACATTACTGATGACTACTTCAGTACAAAGAAAATAGAGCTATGGAGCTAATCTTATGTGGAAACATTGCTTTTTAAATTTAAGTCACAGTACCCTTTTTAAATCAAGAGTTCAAAATTGAGGGCATACATTCATCAGAAGTTAGTAGAGGATATTGTTACTTATTACCTCTTGCCAGAAATATCCTAGAATAACCATGATTAGTCATAAGCCATGACTTTGGAGACTTCTAAGAGAGAATCATATCAAGATTATGACAATTTTAGGAGACTATACTGTGATTATTTTTGGAGAGGGTAGATGTAAAGTGACAATATGAAAAAAAGGAGATAAATTCAAGCCTTCACTTTGACTTAAATACAAATACTCATATATGCATTTCCCACAATGAAACATAGACCCTAGAAGTGCAGTCAATTACTATCATCAAACAGAATTCCACACATAGCATGCTCATTATCTCTTATAATTGTCAAATTCTCATCACATATTTTCTTTCTCTGCTTTTAACTCACCTCCTGAGATGTGGAGGACAATTAATTATTAGAAGATGAGAATAAATTATTGCAATGTCCTCATCAAAGATAATTTGAAACATTCACCCAGACTTATTTTTTCTTTTCAAATACTATTATGCTAGATATTCCTAAATATAAATTAGAAAAGATAGGAAAATGAAGAGATGAAAAAATTCCATAGATTTATCTTGCCAATGCAACCAATGTTAATAATATGTTGGTTCATTCTTTTCTAAGTTTTGTCTTATGCACAAGTCACTGCTCCCTCAAACAAGTTTTACCTAGAGCAGTGGTTCTCAACCTTCCTAATGCCACAACCCTTTAATACCGTTCCTCATGTTGTGGTGACCCCCCAACCATAAAATTATTTTCGTTGCTACTTCATAACTATAATTTTGCTACTGTTATGAATCATAATGTAAATATCTGATATGCAGAATATATTTTCATTGTTACAAATTGAACATAATTAAAGCATAGTGATTAATCACAAAAACAATATGTAATTATATATGTGTTTTCCAAAGGGTGGAGACCCACAGGTTGAGAACCACTGACCTAGAGTCTTAAGACAATACAGGTGATTACCACCTTTAAGCTAAAGAGAAACATCTCTTGTTTCAACTGAATATTAACCACATAGCCATCATTCAACAATCTTGAATTGGGTACATTTCATGTGCAGAAACATAGGTTGGTTGGCATTGTATTGAGAAAAGAGAAGGAAAGATTTTCATCTCAAAGTCCATCTAGACAATTGGAGATGGTGGAAATAGTATATACATTTTAGAATGCTATAAAATAATGTAGTTCTTAAATGTGAATAAATTTAATCAGGTTTACTGGAGGGAAAAAGGAAAACAGGTATACAATCTTGTTTCTCAGGGGAGTCTGCTTTTTACCCTTGAACATTTAACTAGCACTTTTCTTTTGATAGGCTTACCAATGTTTGAGATTTGAAGAGTGGAAAAGACATGAACTGAGGGAAGGAAAGGGGAGAGAATTTCAATGTGTGTGTGTGTGGGAGAGGCAGAAGCAGAAGGAATGGGAATAGGTGATCTGTATGCAAGAATCAGATAGCAAATTTAATCAGCAGAATTGACAAGTGGGTCTAGTGGAGTAATGAGGTAAATTTGGAGGGACCTGGACTGGGGTCTACAAGCAGCAGACCTGGAATCTGGCAGAGCAGTGTGTATGCCCTGAGGTTATTGTTGCAGGACCCCCCAAAACCTTGCTTGCCCTTCCTCTAGGATGTTCAGCATGTAGACATCGATTACATGGACCGGAAGCTGGACTTTACCCTCAGCACGAGCTTTCAAAACCTTAGTCTGCTGATGGAGCGAATGAAGAAAAATGGCACAAGATTTGTCCTTGTTCTGGTAGGTACTTGCAAATATTAAATCTCATTTTTTGTGTTCATGTTTTAAAAATAGCACCATTGAAGGAAATGAGATGAAGAGTATAGGACAATTCCCTGTACATTTTTGCCACTTCTTGTGGATCTATAATTACTTTTTTAAGTTTGAAAAAGCAAATGAAGGAGGAAAAAACAATAACAAGGTTTTTTAAAAGATGATGCTTTACAATCTTTATTTTTAATGACTGAGTATAATTTATTGTTACTGTTCTCTTGACAGAATTAGAAGAACTGTGGGCTAAAACACTGAATATAGCAACAATAAAAAAAAGTCTCTCTATTTCAGGCTGTGCCTTAGAATATCTGTATTTTAGTCTTGTCTTTACTGTGGGGTTTTCAAAAACCTGTTTTGTCATTGCCCAGCAATGGTGAGGCTAAGGGGACTTATTTCTTCCTAATTAAATTCACAAACAACCTAATGAAGGTCCAGAGGACCAATTTATTATTTCACATTGGAAGTTATATCTTGATTAAATACAGAAGTAGTTACCTACAAATGGTCCTCTCTTATAGCTTCTAAAAATTAGAGCATTCTTTGCTGACTTTTGTTTGTTGGTTCATTCATTCATTCAAGTATTTGTTAAGCCTTGGGTCTTTGAAAATTACCATTATAAAAGGTGTGTGTGTGTGTGTGTGTGTGCTTGCAATCTAAATTCATTAAGAAGACAATGTCCTTACAGAGATTATATAATACTAGAGGCCCGGTGCACAAAAATTTGTGTACTCGGGGAGAGGGAGTCCCTCAGCCTGGCCTGTGCCCTCTCACAGTCTGGGACCCCTCGGGGGATGACCACTTGCTGGCTTAGGCCTGCTCCCTGGGGTATTGGGCCCAAGATGGCAATCAGACATTCCTCTGGCAGCCCGGCAGCCCTCGGGGGATGTCCACTTGCCAGCAGGGAGCAGGCCTAAACTGCAGTCGGACATCCTTAGCGCTGCTGAGG